GCTGAGCGGCTTTTCATCAAAGCGGCTAAAAGAGTCCAGACTGACCTGCTGATGTCACTTCCTGTTGTCATCAGGTATGGCGGCCATTATGTCGGAGTTCTTCAACGACACGACGACGGCCTTCTACATCATCCTCATCGTCTGGTTGGCCGATCAGTACGATGCCATCTGCTGCCACACCAACACCAGCAAACGCCACTGGCTGAGGTGAGTCACATGACCAACAACCATGGGGTGGCGATGGAGCAGTGGAAAGACACATGCCTTTGATGTGAGAGACCCGGGTTCAATCCCCCACTGTGACCCGTCCACCAGTGTCCCTGAGCAAGACATTTAACCCCTCGTTGCTCCAGAGGCGTGCGACCTCTGACATGTAGAGCAGCCGTAAGTCGCTTTGGATAAAAGCGTCGGCTAAATGATTTTAAAACTGTTGCGCCCACAGAAACACTGCTGGACCAATCCTGAATCAAAGATCCTTCATTTCTGCAGGAACCTTTTAATGTCCTCACTGAGCTAAAGAAAATCTCTCTGCATTTTATTTCTTTGGGGCAACGACAATTAATTTCATAACAAGTTATTAACTAATTATAAATCTATGAATCAGTCACGTAGTTACTGTGTTGGTTTGAGGGTTTGTGTGTTTGAACGTGGATCTGTTTCTGTTTTCAGGTTCTTCTATCTGTACCACTTCGCCTTCTACCTTATCACTACCGCTTCAACGGCCAGTACAGCAGCCTGGCGCTGGTCACCTCCTGGCTCTTCATCCAGGTCAGAACCGCAGTCCTCGTACTGACCCCGAGCTCGTGACTCTGACCCAACAGAACTATGAGCTTTATCACAGAGGAAACTTGGTTTCACACACAAAGCGAGATCTCGAATAAATGCAACCCGCCAACTAGGATGGGCGATATGGCCTAAAAAATTTACACAAATTTCAGGAATTTATTGCGATAACGATACAAATGACGATAAATTATTTTCTTCTGTAAAATATCAGATTATGTTATGTTAAAGTTGTGTTCCAGTGACTGTGCTGAAAAACATCACACAACAACAATTAAACAATAATAATAATTCAAATCAATTACAAGTTTAAAATGTAACACAGATTCTTTATTTATTTATATTCTCATGGTGGAAAAATGGTGCAAAGCAAACAGCAAAAGTAACAATCACCAACCATGTCTTCAGTTGTGTTTCAAAATTACAACAGAGTACAACTGCAAATAAATCCTGATAAAGTAAAGAAGTTCAGAGTGAAACACACTCTTAGAATGTAAATATAATACATAAGTGGAACATGCTAACACCAGTTAGGTAGTTAAATTATCAACACTCTTGTCCCATGGAACAAATTGTAAAAATAGTGCAAACACTGCATGTATCAAAAAGTAATGATCCCAACTATGTCTCTTCAGATAGTTTACAAAATAGTGCAAAACAAGATGATAAATCAAAAAACAAATCAATAAATTAAATTTAAATAAAAGTTTAATTAAACTGTAAACACTGATATACTCTGCAAAATATAGAAATGAGGCTGACATGAACATGTCTGGTAGTGCAAGTTGCATAACACACATACTAGTGTGATTCAGTAGCTTTCAAAAAGAGAACAGGGCTCACGCCTTAACATATTCACTGCAGCTGGTTTCAGAAGAGACCTTGGGCATGTCACTATATTTCCAGCAGAGCTGAACACCCTCTCTGAGGGTGTACTAGTGGCGGGGATGCACAAGTACTTTTTCACCAAACGACTGATGTTAGGGAAATTCACCTCATGTACCTTCCACCACGTAAGATGATTGCTTTCACCATCTGCAAGTGGCCCATGCAGGTAGTTGTTTAATTCAGCCTCAATTTTCTCTGTTTCAGAAAGGGTGAAAAAAAAACTTCCAAGACTCTTCTTCTGCCTTTTAGATGCACTCTGAGCTTCTTTTGTTGCTTCTGATGACGTTACAGGGGTAGAAGAGCCAGCATCACTTGGCATGACAGAAAGGGATTCCACCTCTCTGACTACTCTGGCTTTGATGACCAGGATCTCTTCTTGACTCATATACTGAGTGCGGAAGCGTGGATCAAGAATTGTTGCCATGTTGATCAGTTCCTGAACCTCTTGGTCACCATATTTGGTGTTCATGTAGTCCAATATTGAACTTTTAATTGTCCTGGTGAGATCTGTGTCTTCATCTTTCCCCTGCCAGCTCACTGTTGAATAGGTGAAGAGTAGGCTTCAAGCATGACTCTGTGACATAGTTTTCAGAAGAGAGCATCTGTAAAATCAAGAAGAGGCCCAAGTGCTTTACTGACAGAGTCTAGGACATCAATATCCTGCCAAGTAGGCACCAGATGCCTGGTTGACCTGTCAGCAGCCAGGACTTGCGTAATGGCCTTCTCTTGCTCAGGTATCCGGCCGATCATCTTCTGCCTTGATCCCCATCGTGTTGCCGATTCAGTCACAAGTTTGTGTGGCAGAAGGCCAAGTTCTACTTGAGCATCTTTGAGTGTTCGCTGCTCTTTCCAGCTGTGTGAAAAAACACCGACAATCTTCTTACAGACTCCCACAGCTCTGTCAATCCTGGTATCCCGCATGCTTCTCTCTGCAAAACAACAACAAAACTATTTATTTTTATGCATTTATTTATGTTTCTTTTGCACAAGAATAAAATAAATACAATAAAAAAAGTTAAAGTGAAGTTAAAATTAAAATAGATGAAACTAAAAAAATCATTTAAATAAATAAACATTTAATATTAAATGCACATAATATAAACATTAGCTAATGTAATGAATTGCTGTTCAAAATACTGCATAGTCAGTCACGTTACTAATCCAGAAACAAATACATAAATACAGTTAATATATTAAGCTCATGTTTGCTCAGTGTGCATGCATTAAATATACTGACACTAAGAGAAAAAGAGTAAACTTACCAATAGCAATGTGTAGACAATGGCCAAAGCAAGACTCCACGTGTTTAGAGTGGCTGCTTTTACTATATTGGCCCCGCTGTCCGTTGTTAGGCACACCTGTTTCTCCTCATCTAAATTCCATTCTTGAAGAAACTGCTTCAAGCCACTCGCGATGTTTTCACCCGTGTGGTCATCTGGGAAAAAACTGTCTGGATGCAACAGCTGTTCGACTCCAGTCGCTCGTTATGTAGTGGACCGTAAGGCTAATGTACGGCTCGGTCGCTCTGCTACTCCACATGTCTGCAGTTGAAGCATAAAATCCGCCGTAGACAGTGACGTTTGTACCCTATTCATACATCGCTGGCAGGGCTGTTTTGGAAAAGTACTTCCTTGAGGGCATGTTGTATCTTGGGTCCAGTTTATGGATCATTCGCTTGAATCCTTCTTTTTCGACAGTTTGGAATGGCAACATGTCTTTTGTCAAACAAAACGCCACTGCTTCCGTCAATTCGCTCCATCGTTTACTTTGCTTATCATAAGGGACGCAACTAGCAAATGCGCTGGCAATTTTGGTCTGGGTGGTAATTTTCTTACCTCTAGGTCCACTTGTAGTTTTCGCCTCCGTTGCCTCGCGTATCTTCAGACATTCAGACCACATACTCTGGTTTGTGTTTCAGATGGTGGAACAAATTGGACGTGTTTCCACTCTTTGTAACCACCGTTTTTCTGCAAACTTTGCATATTACGGTAGTTTGCTCCTCATCTGATTTTCTGTAACCAACCAGTTCCAAATTGTGGAGGTAGCTCCTCGCTTAACAACAAGCTCCTCCTCAGCCTCACGTCCGCCATGCTTGTTTTCACTCCGCACAGAGAATGTCCGCACGTGAACAGTGAATCGCGCGCGCACACAAAACTACGTCATCAACTAGACTTATCGTTATTATCGTTAGGAGAATTTAACGATATATCGCAAACGATAAGATATCGCCCATCCCTACCGCCAACCCAAACTAAACATTTAGTTTCAAACTGATGCTGAAACGACGACATCGTGATGCTGATCTTTAACATATGAACTCGTGCTCTGTCAGGTCTGTCAGCGAGATGGCAAGCAAACAGCTTTTAAACCGCTTGTTTTCTGAATGGAGTTTGGTTGGATCAGGGCTACGCTACGCTAACTGCTTTCACAGTAAAGTTCAACGACAGCTGGAATCATCTGACAGAAACATATTTTCTGATCTTACAGGTAGCTCAGCCTCCTCTTTTCTCCCAGCAGCCTCCTGTTGTGTCGCTCTGTGTAAATATGAAGTCGTCTGAAACACGGCAGCTCGCTGCGAGACGTTCTGATTTAATTGGCTGCGAGCTCGTCCTGTCAGCGAACCGTTATCAGAGCAGATAACGGCGTCATCGCGCTGTGTGTGAACCAGTTCGGGTCTCCTGTTTCAGGTTTAGACGGTCCTGGATCAGCTGGGCTGGAGAGTTTGGCTGAGCTGGACTCGGGTTTCCTGTGTGGACCTGGTTTGATCAGGGTCACTAACTTCCTGCTCCTCTTCTTTTCAGCACTCCATGATCTACTTCTTCCACCACTACGAGCTTCCTGCCATCCTGCAGCAGATCCGGATCCAGGAGATGCTGCTGCAGAACCAGCAGGCGGGTCAGGCCAACCAGACGGCCCTGCAGGACAACCTCAACAACAACCACGCTGCTGCTGCCGCGGGGCCCGCCGACGCCACCCCGCCAGGACCCGGCGCCACCCAGCCGGGTCCTCAGATCGACCCCCAGCCCTCCTCCTCTCCAGCAGCAGGAGGCGGGGGGGAGGTGAGGTCGGAGCTGAACTGGGTCGCTCAGACGGCCGCCATCATCACTGAAGCTCTGTCCTCCTCAGACCAGCCCCCCCCCTCAGACCCCATCGACGGAGTCAGCGGAGGAGGTGCGACTGGAGGTCAGGGGTCAGCAGGAGCAGCCGAGCCCAGTGTGGTGGCCGAGGTCTGGATGGGAGGAGGAGCAGCAGCAGGAGGAGCAGCAGCAGGAGGAGGTCCAGTTGGAGGAGGTCCAGTAGGAGGAGCAGCAGGAGCAGCAGGAGAGTCAGCAGGAGGAGGTCCAGTAGGAGGAGCAGCAGGAGCAGCAGGAGAGTCAGCAGGAGGAGGTCCAGTAGGAGGAGCAGCAGGAGCAGCAGGAGAGTCAGCAGGAGGAGGTCCAGTAGGAGGAGCAGCAGGAGGTGACGTTGAGCCGAACGTGGTGTCAGTAGAAATTAAAACCACAGCAGGAGGAGACGATCCTCCAATCAGAGGGCTCCAGCCGGTGGAGGCGGGGCCCCCAGAGGCGGGGCCCTCAGAGACAGACTGCCCCGCCTCACAGAGTCCAGGTACAGACTGGGACTGCAGAGCACTACAGCAGCAGAGCTCCGCACAGACCCCGTCCTGAGAGTCCAGGTGTAGTCCGGCTCACCTGTGTGACACAGTGCCTCAGTCTGTCAGCTGATCAGGGATCCATCAGTGATCAGCTGATCGGGGAGGCGGTCTACCGTTGATTGACATTTTAGTTTTTATTTTAAACAAATGCTGATTTATTGATTCGTCCAGTGTTTCCCAACCGGAGGGTCGGGGCCCGCAGGACGTCCCCAGACCAGACACGGTGATTTCTATTTTCACTCGACTCAGAACAAGTTCCCGAAAATGTCTATGTGGTTCAGCTGGTCTGGGATCAGGTCTGGGGTCCCTGGGAGGAGACGTTACAGGTTCAGGTTTGGTGTTTTTGTTCTAAAAAGCTGCTTATTATCGATGGATGGCGGATCAGCGCCGCCCCTCAGAGCGAGCACACCTGACCTCAGGTCAGTTTGTGCGATTAAATTAATATTTTCAGCTTCTTTTTATCTGTTTAGTCTAAAATCCACAACTTCTTAATACGATTATTGATCTGTAAGATTTGTCTGTTTGTTTGGAGATAAAACACGAAATAAACTAAAGAATCCTTCAGAGCAGAAACTCGACAGAGTCGGATCCTAATCAGAGTCCTGGATCTGACTCTGAGCCTCTCAGCTCCACAAACAGTAAACCATCAGTGAGCCAGGTCACATGATCCTTCATCACACTTTATCCTCACTCACCCAGACACCGTCCTGCAGACAGGAAGTCAGGGAAACCGCAGATTGATCCTTTAAAATCAGCAGAACGTCACTTTAAACACTGAAACAGGGAAATAAAAAGAATTAAACCACTGAAAATGATTTTTTTCACGCTGCCGATCAGTTGTTGATCAGTCGGCCCTGATCCTGACAGACTGAAGCACAAACTGTCGATCTCTGTTTCCATCTGCTTTATTTTGAAGAAAAAGACTCTTTGAGAACAGGAAGTTGTTTTGGAGCGTCGGACTGATCGATCAGGTGGATCGGGACTTCCTGTCAGAACGGATGCCTTATCAATAATTCAGACTGTCTGTGGACACTTCAGAGACGTCGGCGGTCGATGGAGCTCATTGGTTGTGCAATATGATGCCTGCTGTGTCAGAGCTCAGGCTCCGCCTCCGGCCAGAGGGCGTGGCCTGTCACTGTGATGCGTTCAGGGGACGTTTAGAGGTCTCCAGGTCTGTTCAGGTCTCTGGACCTGCGTCCTGCACGGACCCTCGCGGCTGAGAGGGAAACCGTTAATTAATAGATTTATTGACGAGTCCACAGAAACGTTTTAATTATCCAACACGTCTGTAACATCCAAATCTAATCTAATCCAAACGCATCGAACGGGCTGAAAGACAATCAGTCCGTTATTAACGGAGTGCTCGCACACGCCGCCGCTCTGAATCCGGCTTTAACCTCTGAAATCAAACTGGGACCAGTCACATGATCACTGAGTTACTGCGAGTCTCCTGAACGCACCGCTGATCACGTGATCGAGCATGTGTGTCTCGTTACCTGTTTTTTTTGGGTTTTTTTGTTTTTTTTCCCCAGATCTCTAAGTTTGTGGCGTGCAGGAGGCGGAGCCTGTAGCGTGACATCAGCATCAGACTGTGGGGGTGTTGGGGGACGTAGTTTAGTTGTTTTCTTCTTCGTGCCTCTCTGCTGGATGACTGTAGCCTCATTAGTTGATATGAAGCCTGAAACTCATCAAACTGTATTTAACTGTCCAGTAAAACCAGTAAAACCAGTAAAACCAGTGCACAACCCGCCGTTTGCACCAAACTGTGTGAATGTTTGAGTCGTTTCTGTCTGTGATGCATTTATGAGAGAGAATCACTTTCCGCCTTTCAGGATCACCTGGACAAAGTGACCCCTCAGGTGTCCCCCGCAGAGGCCCGTCTTCACGTGAGTCGTCCAGATCCAAACTGAACCTTAAAACACCGAAGTGGCAGCGGTAACCTTAAAATGAGTCTGGTGGCTTTGCAGAGAGCGAAGGAGCGGCTCTTTGTGGTTAAAGGATCTGACAGTCCTGCTGTGACCTCCTGGGTCCTGGTCTCTTTCAGGTGGTCCGGTGAAGATTGTAGAAAGGTGCTCATTATGTCTCTACAGCCGGGCAGCACCTTTAATTTAAGACAGATTAGTTGATCATTTAAATTTAATTGGCTGTATTTACATCTTTTAAATTTCATTCAGTGTTTCATTTCTTCCTCTAACCTTTATGGATAAAAGCAGTAACACGTTTTACCTCTTGGCTTTTTATAATGTGGTGTAAATAAAATCAAATAAAAGATAAAGATAGTTTCAAAAAAACCTTTATTAATTTTGTCACTGTTCCATTTCTTTTTAAACTGTAACTTTAAAAATACCGGAGCTTCATGTGCAGCCGTCTGACTGTACTGCGCAGACTCCGCAGCTGGTTGTAGTTCTTCACCACCGGAAGCATCAAGTTCTCCGAACAGCTGGAGGAACACCGGAAATACTCTTCAAAATAAAATGCGCATCTTCAAAGTAAACCAACCAAGTTCTATAGTAAGAATAAAATATTGAAATCCCTGTTCTTTAGTACCACTATTTACATTAAACTATTAAAATCAGCTACAATCCACAGCATCACATCAAGTTACAGTAATAATAATCATCCCATAAACTGACAGTCTGTCACCTATTTTAAAACTCTTCAATCGGCACTGAAATATACTTTGACACAATGTTGAAATAAATAACTAACCTTTTAGTTATAAGAATAAAGTATCGTCCCATTAAGAAGATTAATGTAATTATGGTGTTTTTAGGAAGCGGGTTTCACGACTAAGGAATCTTAACGACATATTGAACAGGTTTTTATTTTTATCATCCAGAAAATCACCAATTCGAAAAACTTTATTTTATTTTGAAATCCACCGGAAGTGGCTGTAGTTACTCCGTGTAAAGTGACACAGAAGTCACAGCCGAAGAAGAAGAAGACAAACAGAGGAAAAGTACCGGAGCTGCAGTTTAAAGGTTCTCATAAAGTGTTCCGGTTCGTGTGAAGATGGACTCCGCGGCGGTGGAGATCGACGGCAGCGTGATGGAGGGAGTGAGTAACCCGCGCCTTAAATTACCGGAGAAGCTGTTGTTCGGCTCTGCTAACATGCTAACAGAAGCTAACAGTTAGCAGCCGGTGCTGAGCTGACCGATGTCTGATCTGTTCCCTCCCCGGTGTCGCTTCTCTGCAGGGCGGACAGATCCTGAGAGTCTCCGCGGCGCTCAGCTGCATCACCGGATCCCCCATCAAAATCACCAAAATCCGAGCCGGCAGGAGCACACCTGGGCTCAGGTGAGGTAGCAGCTCGCCGGCTAGCACGCTAACGTTAGCCTATTCATTGAAGTTGTCGGCTAACTTACTCAGCAGACTTTAACAATAAAACAAAACGCCTGTTCTGTGGGTGTTTATTCATTTATACCATTACAGGTTTTATTAATTTCACACCAGACTGACCCCGGTTAGCTTAAAGCCTCCCGGGTCCTTTAAATGATGCTGTTGGGAAACTTCAGCAGATAATGTGTGTAGCTTCTATGGGGTAAAGAAGCCGCTACCGGACTCCATTCAAAATGTCCGTAAAATAAGAGTGCCCGGCTCAGCAGCAAAACTACTCAACTTCTGAAATATGACTGAACAGATTTAGTTAATCAACTGAAGCTGCCTTTAAATTCGGCAAACGTTCTCTTCATGCAGCTGCTTGTACGCTTCTGAAATATTAACCCAAAACATTCAGTTCTTAAGCTGATTGGATGACGCAGTCTGTTTTCCAGAAAACACCGTCAGTGCTTCATCCTGCAGTTGTGGATCAATTAAATGAGGTTCACTGATGAGGACAGAACATCATATATATGCAGTTTTTGCCATAACATTCAAAACATGCCAGAACTAAACAATTAGAAAACATGACTTGGTGCATTTTAATAATAATATTGGAAACATTTTAAAATCTCAAATTTCTAAATGGAGTTTGGTGAGAATCAGATGGTCAGTTTTATACAATTGCAGTATTATAAGTACACCGTGTTATGGTTTGTGTGTGTGTGTGTTCAGACCGCAGCACCTGAGCGGCCTGCAGCTGGTCTCAGATCTGTGTTCTGGCAGTCTACAGGGAGCCACCATCGGCTCCACCGACATCAGTCTGACTCCAGCAAAGATCCGGTCTGGAAACCACACAGCCGACACACAAACAGCAGGGTGAGTCTGTCTGCCGTTCAGGTCCTTGATAAGTGCTTGATATCACCTGTAAGACGAAGCTCAGAGCACCTGTTCATCTGCCTGATTGTTGAGTAATGTGAAATGTGTGTATTGATTATATATGATATAATCTGTGTGTGTGTGTGTCAGGAGTGTGTGTCTGCTGCTGCAGGTCGCTCTGCCCTGTGCCCTGTTCTCCGACGCCTCCTCACAGCTCCTTCTGAAGGGAGGGACCAACGCAGAGATGGCTCCTCAGATCGACTACACCATCAAGGTCAGTGTGCGAATACACTGTGAATACATTAAATACACACTGTGAATACATTAAATACACACTGTACAGAGAACTACAGCTACTGTTCTGCAACACAGACTGCCGTTGTTACTACGGGAACTACTTTTCCTGTATGATGGAGGCGTTGCTAGGCAACAGGATAAGTCTGTTTACCTGTTTGTTTGTTTTTCTTCTTCTTCAGGTGTTTAAACCAATCGTGGAGAAGTTCGGAGTCCATTTTGACTGTGACGTCAGAATGAGGTCAGTTTCCTGTTCGCCCAGTAGAATCAGTAGAAATGTTTCCTCGCTGTGTCTGACTCTGTGTGTGTGTGTCTGTCTGACTCTGTGTGTGTCTGTCTGACTCTGCGTGTGTCTGTCTGACTCTGTGTGTGTCTGTCTGACTCTGTGTGTGTCTGTCTGACTCTGTGTGTGTCTGTCTGACTCTGTGTGTGTCTGTCTGACTCTGTGTGTGTCTGTCTGACTCTGTGTGTGTGTGTCTGTCTGACTCTGTGTCTGTCTGACTCTGTGTCTGTCTGACTCTCTGTGTGTCTGTCTGACTCTCTGTGTGTCTGTCTGACTCTCTGTGTGTCTGTCTGACTCTCTGTGTGTCTGTCTGACTCTGTGTCTGTCTGACTCTGTGTCTGTCTGACTCTCTGTGTGTCTGTCTGACTCTGTGTGTGTCTGTCTGACTCTGTGTGTGTCTGTCTGACTCTGTGTGTGTGTCTGACTCTCTGTGTGTCTGTCTGACTCTGTGTGTGTCTGTCTGACTCTGTGTGTGTCTGTCTGACTCTGTGTGTGTCTGTCTGACTCTGTGTCTGTCTGACTCTGTGTCTGTCTGACTCTGTGTGTGTCTGTCTGACTCTGTGTGTGTCTGTCTGACTCTGTGTGTGTCTGTCTGACTCTGTGTGTGTCTGTCTGACTCTGTGTGTGTCTGTCTGACTCTGTGTGTGTCTGTCTGACTCTCTGTGTGTCTGTCTGACTCTGTGTCTGTCTGACTCTGTGTCTGTCTGTCTGACTCTGTGTCTGTCTGTCTGACTCTGTGTCTGTCTGTCTGACTCTGTGTGTGTCTGTCTGACTCTCTGTGTGTCTGTCTGACTCTGTGTCTGTCTGTCTGACTCTGTGTGTGTCTGTCTGACTCTGTGTGTGTCTGTCTGACTCTGTGTGTGTCTGTCTGACTCTGTGTGTGTCTGTCTGACTCTGTGTGTGTCTGTCTGACTCTGTGTGTGTGTGTCTGTCTGACTCTGTGTGTCTGTCTGACTCTGTGTGTCTGTCTGACTCTGTGTGTCTGTCTGACTCTGTGTGTGTGTGTCTGTCTGACTCTGTGTCTGTGTCTGTCTGACTCTGTGTCTGTGTGTGTCTGACTCTGTGTCTGTGTGTGTCTGACTCTGTGTCTGTGTGTGTCTGACTCTGTGTCTGTGTGTCTGACTCTGTGTCTGTGTGTGTCTGACTCTGTGTGTGTCTGTCTGACTCTGTGTGTGTGTCTGTCTGACTCTGTGTGTGTGTCTGTCTGACTCTGTGTCTGTCTGACTCTGTGTGTGTCTGTCTGACTCTGTGTCTGTCTGTCTGACTCTGTGTCTGTCTGTCTGACTCTGTGTGTGTGTGTCTGACTCTGTGTCTGTCTGACTCTGTGTGTGTGTGTCTGACTCTGTGTCTGTCTGACTCTGTGTCTGTCTGACTCTGTGTGTGTCTGTGTCTGTCTGACTCTGTGTCTGTCTGTGTCTGTCTGACTCTGTGTCTGTCTGTGTCTGTCTGACTCTGTGTCTGTCTGTGTCTGTCTGACTCTGTGTCTGTGTCTGTCTGACTCTGTGTCTGTGTGTCTGACTCTGTGTCTGTGTGTCTGACTCTGTGTCTGTCTGTCTGACTCTGTGTCTGTGTCTGTCTGTCTGACTCTGTGTCTGTGTCTGTCTGACTGTGTGTGTGTGTCTGACTCTGTGTCTGTGTGTCTGACTCTGTGTCTGTGTGTCTGACTCTGTGTCTGTCTGACTCTGTGTCTGTCTGTCTGACTCTGTGTCTGTCTGACTCTCTGTGTGTCTGTCTGACTCTGTGTGTGTCTGTCTGACTCTGTGTGTGTCTGTCTGACTCTGTGTGTGTCTGTCTGACTCTGTGTGTGTGTGTCTGACTCTCTGTGTGTCTGTCTGACTCTCTGTGTGTCTGTCTGACTCTGTGTCTGTCTGACTCTGTGTCTGTCTGACTCTGTGTCTGTCTGACTCTGTGTCTGTCTGACTCTGTGTCTGTCTGACTCTGTGTCTGTCTGACTCTGTGTCTGTCTGACTCTGTGTCTGTCTGACTCTGTGTCT